ACCCACTGAAGTCCCCCCATCTAGTGATGATTGCCGATGGCTTGTTTAGATCAATTAGCCCCTCACCAACTGAATGACCACTTTACAGACAGAGCGCTCGTGTTGTGTAGTCCCCAGTCAACGTCTGCTGTCGGTCGGTGCTGATTGCATCTCTGTGGTTACTGTTATCAGCCAAAGTGGTGATCTCATTGCGGCATGGGACCAGGTTTGTATGACAAGAGCTGTTTTCCATAAAGCCTTGCTACCTGCCATGACTTAATTTCCCCAGTCTCTAATTCTGTAGCTGCTGATCCCTCCCCACCCCTACTCAGCAGCTTTTCCATTCCTCTGCTCAGGGCTGATGCTGAACACTGGCACCGTACACACCTGCCAGCGTTCTGGAGCTTCCCTGGCAAGCCAAGATTATGGCAAGAAATGTGGGGCTGTGGCAGCTCGTGTCCCAGAGAGGAACCGGCCCAAGCCACATGCTCTGGGAGGGTGGAGGCATGCTCTGATTGTATTGTCCTGCGTCTGGTTTGAGGGAATGAAAATGAACCTGTGCTTCCTGCTTAAAATTCCAGCGGGAGCAGAGACTTGCTGCAACTGGTAAAGTGCCTGTGTTGTTCTGCGAGGATCTTGCTTTCCTCCCAGTAATCTCTCTCAGGCATTTTGCTTCCCTCAAGGGGCAGCACTTAAACCCGTGTCACACTTTGGTACGTGCAGTAATTGCCCGGTAAATGATAAACTCCAGCTTTCCCTGACCTGCCTGTAATTGGTAGCACTTAATCCCAGGTTGAAGCCAGAGCTTGCATATATTTGCTCTAAACCCACACAGACCCTTTGCCCACAGAGGCCCCCTCCCTCACAACTGGCTGCTTATTTCTGGTCCTGCACAGAGGACTGGGTTGTTGTGAAACAGCAGGAGGCAAAGCTCAGGCCTGCCCTGGGCAAGGGGTCCCTGTGCTGCAGGAGCATTTGAGGCAAAATGCCCATTCTTGTAAACCTGGAAATGCAGTCTAGGCAAGGTGTCCGCCTGCTGCAACCCATGACCTTAGCTCTGCTCCTCTGAGCCTGCTCTGAGGATGTCACAGCTCACCACTTGGCCTCAGCCTCTGCCAACACACAGAAAGGGCTCCCAGGTGGAGGGTACCACACACATCCTGGTACGGTTAGGGGCCAGCGGACTGCCACCATGGTGTCGTACAAGGCAGAGACCATGGCAAATTGGCTTGAGGTGACTGACCAGGGGGCAGCGCTGAGTACATCCAGAGACTCCCCAGAGCTGTGGCCCCAAGGCTCTTGCTCTACTCAGCCCTGCACTCCCAGCCAGGAGAGGAGACCCGGGGGGAGACATCTCTCCAGGACATCGTTGTCTTGGTTCTGTAATGGGAGAAGGGCACTGGCAATGAGCTCCCTGTGGTGGTTCTGTACAGGGTCAGGCATTTCCCCCCCTCTGGAAACTTCATTTCTGGAGTCTGAAGCTCCAGCTTCTCATGAGTGTGAAAGGGGAAGGGATGGGATGGTTGGGTGGTGACCAGGAGCCGGGCTCTTGAGTTCCCTTTCCAGCTCAGAGAGGAGCGGAGCTTCATGGCTGCAAGATAGGGTTTGGGAATCGGGACACCTGGGTTTCATTTCTCACTGGCATGGTCTAGTGGGGCAACAAATGCAGGGGAACTGTTCTTGGGGAGGGCCCTTGCCTGTTCCCTCCACCCTCATGATCAGGCCCACCCACTCTGTCCTCACAGCAACCCCTCCTCTCCCCGCCGCTACGTTCCTCAGCCTCTGGGACCAGTTCAGACCCCTGAGACTTCCCCGGTCAATTAGGTGCACCCTTTTCTAGAGCTCCCCTCACAGGGCGTTCTGGGCTACAGTTCAATTTTTCAGGGCATGTGATAGTATGAGCAGGCAGACCAGCTTTGCCCAGGGGCTTGCAGTGCACCATTGCTTGCTCTTGACTGATAAAGCCCAGTAGATCATAGATCAACACGTGCAGCGCTCCTGCCTCTGGCTCTCTCTTTCCTGGGTGGGGATCTGTATCCTGGTAGGTGGGGACTTCCCCTCCATCTTCAGTTTTCCTCACCTTGAGTTGGTGACTGATAAGGCTCCCTGTGGAGAGCAGCTCTTGCCCTGTTATAACCTGGTGCTCTCTGTCACCAGACCTCCTGCTCAGCCCCAGCAAGTCACCTTGTTGTAAGGTGACTTCTCACTGACAGATCAGTTCCCTGGGCAGGTGCCAGCCTGCTGTGTAAAGCATCTCTGCTCCAGGGGCTGGCAACCTGCTGACATTTTCAGCCCTGCGCCACTGGCACATGGGACTCCAGTCTAAGAGGGAAATAAAATCCCATAGGACAAGGCAGCAAGCCACTGGTTCAGAATCACTATGACAATGCTGGTCCCTCCTCCGCCATAACACCTGAGCTGGCTCCTTTCTGTGGTACTCCACTCCATACCATACCCCAAGACCCTGCTTCCATGCCAGCATCCCTGCCTATTCTTCTATGTAGTGACTGAAGTCTTTAACCCACTGTGGACTTACCAGCATTGGGTACCAGCCCAATAGCACTCGACAGTGATGGTTTCCCTGCTCTTGTCCTGCTCTGAGCACAAGCCTACACCTTAAGCCAGCACCAAATATCCATGGATTTGCTACAGGGCCATTCCCTGCAGAGTCTGCTTCTCCCCTGCAGCCAGCCCTAGACATCATTCCTCCAGCAGAACCTACACTTTGTACCCTGCTTGCTCCACAACCATGACACGACTTTATTGCTGTCTTAATTAGTGATGGACTTTGCTGGGTGATTGTGATGCTAATGGGTTATCACTGCAGGAATGACCTCTTTTTCCTGCTCCTCAGCTACTAATTGTCATCCAATGATATTGATTAGTAATTGCCACTTTCATTAGACATTCATTCCATTAGTACAACTGGGTCCCACCCTGACTGCTCCCCTGATTTCTCAGTCTTGGTCTTTCATTCCTGCTTTCTTCCGTCTGTCATCTGCTTATCGTCTCTTTTATCCCTCTCAGCTCTGCTGCCTCTGCATTGGTCTGGCCTCTCTCCCCCTTCAGACTCCCTTGTCCCCCATTCTGTTTTCTTCCCCATGGTAATCACTTTTCCCACCGTGAGAATGGGTTTGGGGAGACCAAAATATAGACACTGGGAGGGGCCTGAGTTGCCAGTGAAATTTGGACCCCTGTGTGTCTCTGGTTGAGCTCCCAAAATTGCTAGTTGCCTGGGGATTCTTGACTCTTATTCTTGTGACAGTAGCAACCACAAAGGAATAATGGAAGCGTCCCTGCTTATGGGGAAGCCAAGGAACACACAAGGAGCTGAAACACCGCACCCCTGGGCTAGAAAGGCACCAGCACAAATCTCAAGAGAAACATCATCAACCAAAGAGGAGCAAATTCCAGAGCCAGAGAGGCAGGATCTGAGATGTTTTGCTCCAGCCCCAGGGAGAGCTGGGAGGGTGGGGAGTGTTATGGTTCACTCACCTGGCCTCACCCACTGAGGCAATGTGTTTCCGTCACCCACAACAGTTTAAGCAACTGGCTTAAGTGGCAAACTCTCAGTTTCCAAAAATAAAAGCAGGTAACTTGGGGTTAAGGAGGATTAATCATTTTAGGTTGATATTTATCAGCTGCTGCAGACTTTGATATGACCCAGCAATTTTCGGGAAAACCTGCCTGCATTTTACAGCACTTTGAAAAGAAAAAGCAGGTCATGATGTGGGGTCTGTATCTTGGGATCCCCTGACACAACAGCTCCAAAGTGCTCCATAAGATGTAAGCAAAGCCCCCCCACAGGCCCAGCAGGCATTAACCCCACACCAATGTAACTGGCAAGTTGAAGCCATGAGTTAAGACAACCGAGAGGCTGGCGCCAAAGGGCTCCTGACCTGGCAAAGTTGGAACCTCACAATGCACCAGACAGTAACCCAATATAGGGACCATTGGGCCAGGGAGCTAACAGTCTGTTTCCCCCAAGGGACAGTCTGCTGCTGGAGGGTACCCCCATACCCTACACTTTCCCTGAAGTGGCTCTGACACTAGGGAGGGCAGAGCAGAAGCAGCAGCAGCAGCAGCAGCATGTGGGTGGTGGTTCACCATTGCTGGGGGAGATGTCAGCTCCTTTTTGCTGCCAAATACCAGTGGTTTTTAGGCCTCTTGAGACATGCCAGCATCAAAGAAAGGAGGGGATATGACATCTACCTCAGCAGCAGCAGACTTTCAGTGTGTACCCTCTGCCCAGGAAACAGTAGTGGCTACATAGGCCTCTGCCAGCTCACATGCAGGACCTTGAGGCTGCAGTGGGCTGGTGATATAAATGTCATGTCCCTAGGATGGGCTATGTTTGAATTAGCCCCTGGCTCCAGCAAGTCATCAAACACTTGAATACAGGACCAACAGCTGTTGAAAGAGAGAGCACCAGGCAGGGGACCTGGAGGGAGGAGTGTAGGTTGTAGGAGGAAACCCTTTTGGGGGGTGGGCACCAGCAAGCCAGACTGGAGGCACCTGGCTGGATTGCTTGGCTGTCCTTGCACATACTTCTCTTGCTAAAGAGAGAGGCCAGCTGCAGAAGCAAGGAGTCATTACCCAGCAGGTGGTTACCTGCTAGCACTGTGCAGCCAGCTTTGGGTGCTGGTGACTGGCTGAACATGGGCCCAGGCTATAGTTCTTTCCTAGCAGCAGTCAAAACAAAGCATTGCACCAAATGGTCCATCTCAAAATGGAGGCACTTTGGGGGGCTGGATTTTGGGAACCCCCCAGTCTTGGTACCACTAACTCTCCCCTCACCCTAACACCCTGTCATTGCTGCATACTCAAGACTCATGCTCAGGTCGGGGGTGGAGGGGTGGGGGTCCTACTGCAAGAGCTAGGGGGACCAGTAGATCTAGGCATAATCCTAAATTTGCAGTCCAGCCACACTTAGTCAGTGTGTATATACATGGAGGCATGGATACACCCATCCATGCAGATGTGTGTGTGTGCAGGAATGGAGGAAGGGAGAGGGACTGGGGCAGAAATGAAGAGCCATTCATAAGCACCTTAAATGTGCTTTCAGGCTGTCACAGGACCTAGAGAGAGCTCTAACTGAGTTCCTCTATGCAGATATTTGGGGCAAGCTGATAGTTCTCTCAGTGTCCAGAAGCTTTGCTCACTGTGTCTCCAATTCCTACAGAGCTGCAGTGGCCAGTGTAGAGGTTATGTGCAGGGATGGCGGGCAGTTTGCTTAGCAGATGTTACTGCCTTTCTCCAGGGGATTGGGAGAGGGCGAGAATCTGGTATTCCACGTCAAGTGGATCCAAGGCCTGTGATACTGAATAGCAGGTTCTCTATTGACTGGAGTGGGTTAAGACCGGGCCTTTCACATCACTTTATTATCCTATTGGAGATCCAACCTGGCAAAAATAGATCCTGTGCTTTTATGTCCTGGCAGCTGGTGCCAGGATCAAGTTCTGCCATGTAACAGTCCTTGTCTTGCACTTGCTGCCATGTCCTGAGCAGTGTGAGCAGTTAGCTTTACACCTGGGCATAGCTAAAGGGGCAGGGAATGGGCATACCATGTTTGTGGGCACTGTGGGGAACACACCTATGGTGTGTTTTCCTCCTCACACCAACAAAATTAATGGGACTGAGAAGCATGGCATGTCCCAGACAGGGAGGGGCCCTGCACAGCTGGGAGAGGCACGCATAGAGAGCAACATTTTCCAAGATGTGCACCTAGATCAACCTGGCTTGTGATGCTGCCCTGCCTGATGCACCCATCTCAATGTGGTCTATGGAAGCCCCTTGGCAGGGAAAGGGTTAAAGCTGAAAGGCATGACATGGAGAGCCTGCTGTGCGTAAGGACTGTGGCTTGTATTATTCATCTGCCAGTCTCCACCCCAAAGTTGGATTATTTAAGCAGAGGAAGGCAGGCAGGGAAGAGGGAGCCAGAGACGAACACAAAGGGGCAGGAGTAACTGGAGCACTTGGGAAGCAGGGGCACTCGCCAGCTCTCCCCCTGTGCTGTGGGCACAGTAGCATTGGGCAGCTCCCCGGTGTGGGAGCCATGTCAGCAGTGCCAGCGAGCAGGCTCCTGCAGATGGGGGTGCTGGGCTACTTGCTCCTCTTCTCCTTCATCTCCTTCACCTCCTCGGTCCGGGTGGACTTCACCGAGCACTGGAATAAAGCTGCCAAGATCAAAGTCAACCCCAGGGGCAACCTCTGGGCAACAGGTACTTGCTGCTTTCTCTGGGGGGCACTGCTGCACTCCTGCTATGGGGAGGGAGCTGAGTGGGTGCAATTCATTACTACAGCTTCCCTGGGCAGGTGCTTCAGCCTCTTCCCTTCTGTGCCACCCCCCCAACCCTCCTGTCCCATTCTTCTGCTCTGGATGCAGCTCACCAGATCTCTGAAGGACTCTTCAGGGGGGATCAGCCCTCACTCCCTATCCTACCACAGGGGTTGAATTGCATCTGAGGTGAGGGGGAGTGAGTGACCAAGCCTCTGGGCTTCAGCCTGCACCTAGGATGCTTGCCAATGGATCTGGGAGTATCTGAAGCTCCAGGCTGAAAAATCTGGGGTGGAGGATACTTGCTGCTTGTAGCACCACATATGGGGTTTGAACAATTGAGTGTTGCTCAATTGAGAGGATTCAGAACTGATTTGGCTAATTTGACCTGGAAGAAGAAACATTTTCCAAAAAAAAAACCAGAGAGAGTGAAGGGTTCTTGGAGAAGAGCACAGCTCTCCTATCCTCCCTCCCCTCCTGGCTGCTCCCTGGCCACATTTGGACTTTTAAGGGAACTTTTAATTCATTGAGGAAACATCCCAGTCTGCTTCAAAAGCCAGGGGCTTTCACTCAAGTCTTAGGTTAATGCAAAGCTACGGCATCATGTAACTGTCCTGATGCAAGGGGCGGGAAAAGTGGCTAGTAGCTGTATGAGGGGGCAAAGATGCATGCCAAGAGGGGCTGGACGGAGGCAGAGAGGGAGTTTGTGTCAGTCCATACCCACCCAGAGGTGCTCTGCTCCGATGCTGCACCTGATCTTAGACCATCTCAGAGCTGCTGTAGCCTGGCTTTGGAGAGCTGGGGATTGAAACCGAGAACAGGGACCTGTGGAAAATGCAATCCCTTTGCAATTAAGAGTGGAATTGGGAGGGGATGAGGGAGGAGCATCTGGGTGAGAAACCAAGGGCAGCATCTTTGTTGTGCAAATGTTTGTTCTGGCCACAGCTGTGTGGGTAGAAGAAGGATGCTGTGGGAGAGGAAGGGGGCTGAAGGGAGGTTTTGTGATGCTCCAGGATGAGTCAGGAACCTGGCTGAGATGAGCAGTCTGTGGGGTTGTGGTTTCTCTGGGGCAGGGATTGATCCTTGCCTCTGACAAGTGCACCTGGGCAATGCGTGGAGTTGAGAGTCAGCTTGAACATCCACATAGTGCAGGAAAGAAAGGTGCTGCTTGATTTTTGGTTGTAGCCGTGTTGGTCTAGGGACATAGGCAGGTGAGGTTCTTTGGGTAGATGCAATATCTAGTTGGTCTAATAAAAGATATCACATCTACCCAAAGAAACTTGCCTGCCAGGGGCTGCTTCATACAGTCGAGGCTCTCTAGGGCAGTGTTTCTCAACCCATGGGTTGTGGCCCAGAAGTGGGTCACAAGAATATATGAAAGGGTCGTGAATAAACTTTAAAAATGGATCAACAAATTTTAAAAATGGATTCTCCTTTAAAGGAGAAAGATGTGGGAAACGGTGGCTTTTCCCTTGCAGGCTGGCAGAGCTCCAGCCTGCGAGGGGCTGCTTGGAGCTCCCCCCGCTCCACACCCACACATTGGGGGGTTGGGGCTTAGGGGTGGGGGGCAGTGGGTCAGGAGTGAGGGGCACTGGGTCAGGACTGGCCATCGATGTTTACAAAAGGGTCCTGGTACAAAAAAGGTTAAGAGCCACTGCTCTAGAGGCCAACTGGCAGCACCCAGAGGGGAGAGGGTGGGTGGATAATGTGAAGCCAAAGGATACAGTTAAATGGAAATGATTCAAAAGAGTTTCAGATATATAGGTGGGCAACCAAATAATGCTGTGTCTTAATAATTGAATAATGCTGTTAGTATTAACAAATACCTGGCTTAAATCATAACCTGTTCATGATGAGAGGCTATGAGAAAACCCCTAGCAAACATGCTAACATCAGGGAGTTCTCTGTTTATTTTAGTTCAGTTACATGCAGCGTTTTTGGGGTGGTCAGTGTAGGAAGGAGTTATTTATGAGGGAAATAAGAAGAATAAATACATTATGTCAGTGTTTGGCATAAAAGCTATAATCTGAGGTCTACCCTATGTTATGTGGAGGATTCA